AGCTTGCCCTGTCTGCAATCCTGGGTCAGCTCGGTGAGGGCGCTGGCCCCATGCCAATTTACGTAACCCCCCTAGCACTGTGACTCCCCCGTGACTCTCGTGGCTGTTCTCGGCCTGGGTACTTGGCTCGAGCGTACGGTCAACGTGATACTTTTTTATTTTTATTTTCATTTTTTCTCCCACAACGTGACTCAATACTTGCAAATAGTCCATGTCGTGTCCAGACGTGTCAGAATTCCTGAGACCAACAGACTGACGAAGCTGAGTCCTGCACAATGCACGGCATCATACGAAAAAAAGTCGTATACTCTTCCAGAGAGACAGCAAAGGCTCCACCACCTCGAATGGTGAACCCCCCTCCCAAGCCCTCTGAGATATAAGCACCCCCCCCCCAATTCTCCAAAGGAAGCGTCCCGCGTTCTGCCGGCCGCCCTGGCCGTCCACCGCCCGGCTGGACCCCAACGAACCCCTCCGCTTACCCGGCTTCCTCCCCCTCGGCTCCGCACCATCCCACCACCAGCACCGTCCGTCCGAACTAAAAAATCTCAGAATCGACAAGGGAAGAAGACAAAGCCCCATCCCGCCCATCAGCCCGTCGCCGTCCCATCTCGGCCGCCTTTGCTGCTGCTGGCACGCTGCTAGCAGGCAAGGCAGGTTGCTGGCTGCTGCCCAACACTAAACGGCCATGGCAGTAGCGTCAGTCACCACGCACACGCAGACGCATGCACACACAAAAATAACACACCCCTGTCTCCCTTGCCCTGGAACCCATCTTCCGAAATCCCACACCCCATCTTCCCCTGCCTACCTTTTAGCTGACTTTGCAAGGAAAGGAACATCCTTACCTCCTTCCCGTGTTCCTATCCCGTGATGTTTTGGGGGCCCAGGGAGAGGGGGCATACATTGAAACCCAACCCCCATTCTTCCGATTTGTTTTCGTCGTCACGACCTCTGTCTTCTCCCCTTATCTCGCGTCATCGCCGCCTTCGCGCCCTGATGGCACGAAAATGCGCCGGAACTGGCCCAACTCAGTTTCGTGGCTTGCGGGGTGGCGGGGTACCCATTCGCTTCCTCCGCCCACAGGTGTTCTTGTCAAGGGGGCCAGAATAGGAGCCACCAGCCCGGATGTGAGCAATCGGATCTTGGTCGCGCTGGGACGCCCACTGCCTTGCTATTAGTCCACTCTTGCACCCTCACGGGAGTGGAAGGTTCTGAGGAACCTCTCAACCTGACACACACACCCACATGCCCTCCGTACTGGCGGCACCGGCACCATCCGTCACGGTAGGTGGCCGGGCCGGTCGGCTTTTCGGTCGAGAACTCACACGGCTGCTACCTTGGGTGGTATCGGCAAGTGTCCCTCGCGTCATCCATCAATTGTCAATCGTTTTGACATTCGGACATGCGGCGACTCTGTACACAGCATTGTTTTTTTTCAATCATTTTGTAGGTTCGGTTCAACTTTTCTCTAGGTTTGTACTGCCTTGCCTCCCGCCCACGCATGTCCTTCCTGCTTAGCCACCGGGACTTTTCTCGTCAAGTCGTTTCACGTCATGTCGTCCTCCAATTAAGCGTCGTTGGTGATCAGCTTGGTGATCTTGCCGATGGCAATGGTTTGTCCCTGTTCCATACGTAAGCATGCGAGGCAATATACCATTGATAAACGTCTCGGGGGGGGGGGGGGGGGGGTTGGCAAGGAAATGGTCTCGCAAAATGAAACTGCCCCCCTGGGGGTAATCCCCCAACCTCTCCACACAGAGCCAACCAGCACCGCCCGGCACCTCCGAGCGCGCAATGAAGAGGGCAGACTTCCTGGCGGGAAGAGTCGGAACGTTGCTCTTCCTGTTTATGCCCTTCTGGAGCTTGTGCAGCAGGGCGGCGAACGTGACTTCTTCAATGGCGGCGTGCACGTGCAGCACGCAGTTGAAGCCGGCAGACAAGATGCTCTTGAGCTCGAGGATGCGGATCTGCGCCTCAAAGGCCGTCACGTTGTGCACGAGACGCTTGGGCGAGCACAGCACGAAACCGGGCATAATGTCCTCCTCCTCGGCGCCACGGAGACGCAGGCGCACTTGGTCACCGCACTGCGAAATGTTGACCTCGTCCTCCGTCTCGCCGTACACGGCAGTAGCCTCGACCGTCTGCCTGTTGGGCATCATGACGAGGGACATGCCCTTCTTGACCACACCCGCCTCGATCTTGCCCTCGATGATGGTGCCCATGTCCTTGTACTTGGCCGCGACGGGCATCATGAAGGGCGCCTTGAGCTTGCGCTCCAGCGTCTTCATGCCGTCGAGGTACTCGAGAAGCGAGGGGCCGTCATACCAGGGCGCCTTCTCCTTGGGCACCCGCGTCTTGATGCCCATGGTCTGCTGTGCCGCGATGGGCATGAACATGACGTCCGTCTTGAGGTTGTAGCCCGTGCCCTTGAGGAACTGCGCGAGCTTGGTTGTGCACTCAAGGTAACGCTCGTGAGACCACTCGACGGTGGGATCGTCCATCTTGTTGATGACGACGACGAGCTTGTTGACACCCTGCGTCTTGGCCAGCATGGCGTGCTCCCTCGTCTGGCCACCACGCTCAAAGCCCGTCTCGTACTCACCCTTACGGGCAGAGATGACGAGAATACCGACATCGGCCTGCGACGCACCGCCAATCATCGAGGGAACGTACGTCTTGTGACCAGGGGCGTCAAGGATGCTGTAGCGTCTCTTCTCCGTCTCGAAGAAGCCGCGTCCCACCTCGACCGTCTTGCCCTTGCTTCGCTC